GTCGTCCGTCGTGCGTTAACTTTTGAACATTTTTAACTTCTTCTCTAAAACCGCTCAACCAATTTCAACCAAATTTGGTATATAGCATCTATGGGTGAAGGGAAACATAAATTGTGAATTTCATGATCCCTGCCCCCCTGGGGCCTGAGGGGTGGGGCTAAAACCACCAAAATTAATGCAATCTTTAAAAATCTTCTTTACTCCTGGACATCAAGCAGTCAAACTGTTGGCATCATTGTAATAAGCATGGAGCCCTCTACCAAAATTGTGAAATTTATGGCCCCAGGGTCAGGGGTTCTGGCCCCAGGGTGGGACTATATAGATCATATAGTGAAAGTGCATTATTTCTTTGAAAATCTTCTTCTCTGCTCCTGGGTATTAAATAAAGTTACTAAGTACATAGTTATGATGAGCAAGAGTGCCTCTTCCAAAATTGTGAAATTCATGGCCCCAGGGTCAGGGGTTCTGGTGTTAGGGCGGGGCTCTATAGATTATATAGTGAAAATGCATTAATTCTTTGAAAATCTTTTTCTCTGCTCCTGGGTATTAAATAAAGTAACTAAGTACATAGTTATGATGAGCAAAAGTGCCTTTTCAAAAATTGTGAATTTCATGGCCCCAGGGTCAGGGGTTCTGGTGTTAGGGCGGGACTCTATAGATTATATAGTGAAAATGCATTAATTCTTTGAAAATCTTCTTCTCTGCTTCTGGATATTAAATAAAGTAACTAAGTACATAGTTATGATGAGCAAGAGTACCTCTTCCAAAATTGTGAATTTCATGGCCCCAGGGTCAGGGGTTCTGGTGTTAGGGCGGGGCTCTATTGACTATATGGTGAAAATGCATTAAATCTTTGAAAATCTTCTCCTCTGCTCCTGGGCATTAAGGTGATAAACTAAGTACATAGTTAAGATGAGGAGGTGGGCCTCTTCCAGAATTGTGAAAGCCATGGCCCCTGGGTCAGGGGTTCTGGTGTTAGGGCAGGGCTCTTTTGATTATATAGTGAAAATGCTTTAATTCTTTGAAAATCTTCTTCTCTGCTCCTGGGTATTATTTAAACAAACTAAGTACATGATTATGATGCATAAGGATGCCTTTTCAATAATTGTGAATTTCTTGGCCCCAGGGTTAGGGGTTTTGGTGTTAGGGCGGGGCTCTATTGATTATATAGTGAAAATGCATTGATTCTTTGAGAATCTTTTTCTCTGCTACTGGAGATTATTTAAACAAACTAAGTGCATGGTTATGATGCATAAGGATGCCTTTTCAAAAATTGTGAATTTCATGGCCCCAGGGTCAGGGGTTCTGGTGTTAGGGCGGGACTCTATAGATTATATAGTGAAAATGCATTGATTCTTTGAAAATCTTCTTCTCTGCTACTGGAGATTATATAAACAAACTAAGTGCATGATTATGATAGACAAGGATGCTTCTTCCAAAATTTTTAAATATATGGCCTCAGTTTTTGGGGTTCTTGAGGAGGGGGGGGGGGGCTCTATTGATTATATAGTGAAAAAGCATGAATTCTATTAATCATTAATTAATCCTGTCTGCTCCTTAGTGTTGAGCTGATAAATAAATTGCTTAGCTATGATGAAAATGGGAGCTTCGAACAGAATTTTTAAATCTTGTGGTCCTAGGGTCAGGGGTTCTGGCATAACGGGGGGGGGGGGGGGGGGGGGGGGGCTTTTGATAATATAGTGGAAAAGTGTTAATTCTTTGAAGTCCATAGTTATGATGATGAGGGTAACTCTTCCAAATTTGTAAATTTCTTGACCCTTGGTCTTGGGTTCTGGTGTCAGGGTAAGGCTTTGTTGAATCTGTAGTGAAAATGCATTGTACCTGTGAAATTCTTCTCTGCTTCTGGGCATATTGGAAGCAAACTGAGTTTAAATGATATGAGTAAGCATATTTCTACCAGATTTTTAAACATCTGGACCATTGGTCTAAGCATTCTGGTCCTGGGCAGGGCTCTATTAATTTGTATTCTACTGAGAGAAGTAGACCTGTAAGTAATAGACAAATAAAAATGAGACAAAAACAACTTATCTTATTAAAAGTTCTTCAAAGACCATAAGAGAAGTCAATGCTAGAGGTCTTAATATGGGTTTAAAAATAGTACAGAAGCACTAATAGTTTGTTAATAGTCTGCATAGTGTTAAGTGGGGGACAGATTAGAACTTAATTTATGAGTTGATACTGAATACTACACTAATTATTTTGTTGATCCTGATCTTCCTACTTCTCTTGCTTTAGGGCAACAAAGCTTCAACTATCAGTGTATTTAACTTCTAAATTGTTGTATTATACTCAGGTGACCGTTAAGGCCCTTGGGCCTCTTGTTACCTTTTGGCCTTGACCTTAGAGTTTTACCTACTTTTGAAAATCCTCAACCATTGTCACAACTTTTGAACGTTTGGTGCTATGGCTTTCATATTTTACATGTGTATTCCTTGTGACAAGACCTTTCTTTGGGTACCATTTTAACCTCATGACCTTCTCCTTGAAGTTTGACCTACTTTTGAAAATCTTTAACCTTGGCCCTGAGTTGCCATATTTGGGCATCAGTGTTTCACAAATTGTCAAAGGATATAAGCTTGCCAAGTGGAATTAGAGAGTTGGAAAAAACCTGATACTAGTAACTAAGAGTACATTTTGTGGAACCTTTTTCTCCCTTTGCAAAACTGAATTTCTTCAAAGTTTATGTACATTATTACTTCACACAGATCTCAACATTCAGTCAAATGCTGCACAAATCATGGCAACCAATCAGGCTTACTAGGAGATCTATAACATGTTAGAGAGAAACAAAAAAAATAAAATAAAAAAGAATTGACACTGTTTGATAGTGATTAAACATATAGCAGCAATGGAAGAATTATAAATTAATAATGAATGGATTTTGTGTTATTTCAATTTTAGTTCTAGTAGCTACATTCAATGACGGAATTTTGAAGAAATTGCTTTTATGATGATTTTGCATGTAAAATTCAAATGCCTACAAAACATAACTTGTATTTAGAAGACAATGGAGACACTGCGTCTGAATCACTGGATGACCATTACATCACAGTTGACAAAGATAGGAGAAAATAGTTACTAGGTCTCAGTCATTTTATAAAATGATAACATTTACATTCAGTCTAACTGTAATCAGACATTACAGGGTAACAATTGGTCTGGAGATCTATGTTAGTATTGTCATGTTGGGTCCCTTATCAGCCCCTCTATCTGCTAGGTAATGGTAAGGTGGTGTACAATGGGATAAACCTGCAATCCCTTCACAGATAGGCACATAATCATAGGAGATTTCTCCACCTCTAGGCATCACTATTTCCTCAGCATAGTCCTGATTAGTGGTCAAGATAGAGTTATCTGCCCTAGTAATGCAGTGTCTGTCTTGGCAACTTCCTTTGCTATGTCAGGGATAATTCCCATGTTTCCTGGTCTAAACACCACAGCTCAATTACATTGGTGTCCTCTGCCATACTGAAGATGTAATTGAGAAAATTGATGTATTGTTAAAAGATTGAAGACTTTTTATGAACATTGATTTTTTTTTTATAGAGAATTCAGTTAGTTTATTTGTAGTAAAGAAAGCTGCAAGGATAGCAAAGCTGACAATAGAGGAATTTTTATGTGAAGATTTTTTTTAAAAAAATTTTATATAACAAGAATATACATATTAGATGTGACTTATCTAAATGCTTTATGCTTATGATAGTGTACATGTATCTACATAAAGTCAAGGATTGAAATGTAAAATCTTGAGACCATATTGTACAACTACTCTACTCTTTAAGTCATTGGTAGATTCATAAATTAATTCATAGCTGTTGACCTTGTATGAAGAAGCAGCACGATTTGCCATTTCAGATGCATGTTTTCAAGCTGATTAGAAGAATATGAATAACTAAAATTATTATTATAAAATATCTATGTTTGTGTAATAATTATGTAGGGTTTTCTGCAAGCAGTAAGAGAGAAATATTTTAAATACATGAATGAACAGGAACATTTGCACTAGAATTATGAGCTATCTCAACTTGAAAACTTGAAAATTGACTTTGAGTGAAATAAGTTTTAGCTTGAAGTTTACTGTTTATATTATTTATTTCTGTTAGAAAACTTCAGTACTTGATTAATATTTTACTTGCTTTTTAGTGGTATTATGAAAAAATAAACGTAATTTTAATAAAACGTTATTAGTGAAGGTCTTCAGAGATTTCGGAGTCAGGAATATGTGCTGGTGCTATATAGGATGGGTTACATACCAGACATCTAAATACTCGGTAGTAAAAGAGTGGGAATATATTGGGAGGAAAAGTCCACTTTGTATTATATAAATATTACTTTTATATACCAAGATAACAATAATGTGTACAAACAAATCAAAGCTAAAAGAAGGATATAGGGAGAAGAGTTTATCTAATCTGAATCTGATAGAACATAGTCATACTTTGTGTTGGGCATAATTTCATGCTGTAAATTATTCTACAGTACCTGGAGTGCTTTAAGGAGACACACATCTGAAAGTTTGTCTGGCCTTCTTGAGAGGTACAGAAAAATACCAAATGTTATTTGTTCTCACTGTGCCAAAACTCGTATATCAATATACAATTTCAAACTCGACAGGTTAATGTCGTAGGATTTAAGCAGAGGTCAGGCAGAAAATTTACCTGTATGTGTACCTGGAATACAGTATTGTTCGGATCCATACCTGTCACTCTGTGACTTGTAGGGCGGAGAAGGTTTGTGACCCTGATTTTCAAGGGTCGCTGCACCTAGATTCTTTTTTGGGCAGTTTTAAATGGAAGCCAGAAGGAGTAGAACTCTGTACCGCGTGTTAGATTTCATAAATAAGAACCCTGAGCTGTTTCGCTGATTTGTGTAGTGCTCTGGTAAAAAAGCATTCTCATTGATAATGGAGCATACCTACTTCTAACCAATGTCTACAGGAAATAGCACACTGAATGTAAAAATGTGTGGCTTTAATGGTTTCTGGTTTTTTGTTGCTATTAGGTGAATGATTCCTGCACGTGATTTTTTTTATTTTTTTCTGGGGCTGAGTGCAGATAACTGGAGATATTTTTTCTTGTGACTTAAGTGTAGAAAACTAGTGGTGTACATGTATTTCTACCAGGATTCCAGTGTATAGAGTTTTTATTGCCCACAGCTCCACTGATAGCATCATTTCTTATACTTGAAAGAAGGTTAATTAGAGAAACGTTTATAGAATGTCATTTCTTCTACTTTCTGAGGAGAGACCTGGTAAGTGGTGCCTTTTTGCAGTATTTTTTTTTCTCTCTCTTGGAAATGCTCAACCACAAATGTTGTAAATAATGATTATGCTATTTATTATCATGATTTTAGATTTTGCTCAGAATATCACCTAGTTATCTTCTGTTGTGAGTGTAGAAAAAGAGTGTTTCGTGGAATTTTGATGTCTGTTTTTGAATTCATTAAAAAATGTATGCCTGAATTTAATGAATGTGAATTTGCATAAGGTGACAGGCATTCTGTTGGTTGTGTTATGATTAATATAATGTTCTTTTGTTAAGAAGCTCGGCTATGTATCTGGAGGAGCGTTTAACTCAGGTAGATGGTCTCATTTATTTTCTTCACTGCTGCCTTTCATGATTCATACGTATGCCCTGAATGAAGGTACTGTTCTACTCATTATTCAAAGTATTGATAAATTTTTCGGAATATTCGGCAAATGGGATAATTCGTTCAAAAGTCAATTTATTATCTTCCTTAGGCCTCCGTGTTACATTTTGTTTGTGGCGTAAAAGTTTATTAATGTTATCAAAGGTGATTGTGGCTCTTTTGTCTTTTTTTTTTTTTTTTTTTTTTGCTATGAGTGTATTGATACAAAGATTACTTGGAGTATATTATGTTGAAGTTAGATAAATATCAGAGAAATGTCATCATGATAGAGTGTTAGAATTACTCTCTCAAAATCATATATATACCCAATGTATTTTATAGAAATAATTTTTTTGTATTTTTTTTTTTAGAAATATTAAGATATCTTAATCCCAACCATGAAAATTATACCATATACATGTATTTATAATTCCTAGCCATCTTGTAGAATATTCATTTTCTTCAATAACCTCATAAAACCAAACATCCCTATCATTATTGTGTGATTTCTACCCTTTGGGTTAACGTGTAATAAATTCTGTTGTGCAAGGATACTTTTATTACAACTTTGCAGGACAATTTTTAATTTTTTTTTTCATTAAGTGCTCTAGTTTTCTTTTTACTAAAATGAGCACTATTTTCATGCTCGGAAGATTAAAAAAAAAATGGAAATCAATTAACTATTTGTAAATATGTATAAATCATATAACTTGGTGGCGCAGATTTTACAATATTGCTCTAGGGTATGTTTGAGTCTTGATTGTTTAATTTCTTGGTATTAATCATGCTAATGATGCAGGCTTTTGCAACATTCACAAATCTATCTCCAGGCAAGTTACGGATGCATCCATGACCATTTGTTATCCTAAGCTGGAGGTTCTTATTTTTTACCAAAATGATTACTCTCTCTTAGGTTTTGCTTTGTATCCAAAACAGAGTTTTGATTTGGGAGGTCTTTGACTGGTTTTTTTTACTCTCAGTTGATGAATTAGGAAATGTTCTGAATCTTCCACACTGCTTGAAAAAAGTGTACATTTTTTTTGTTTTTTGATTTAATTTTAAAAGTTTAGTGGTTCATAAGTAACCAAAAATGATAGAAGATTTTTATTTGTAACTCATAATTATGTGAGGTCAAAGACTCTTGAGTTTTACTGAAATTTATTTTTTATACAGATCATGTGATACAATGTATATTCTTTTACAGGGTTGCCAAAATGGCAGTAAATGTTAAAACAGAACCACCCGGGATATTTTCTTGCATCAACGTCAACGTAATGGACGATGATAAAGAAAAGTCATTTCAGATGCGCAAAACAATGATGAAAAAAGAAGCCATGGACCCAAAATTTCGCAAAGAGTTGAAAGTGGATGTAGGAGCTGGAAACTTTCAAAACGTAAGTATCATAACTCCCCAGTCAGCAATCCTTGGCTAATTCAGTTACGCTACATACAGTCCTAGGAATGTAGGAATACACATCCTTCGTAAAAATTAACTTTTAATTCATTTTGCCCTACACACTGTGTAAAGATCACCTGCATATTCCTCTAATTTGCATACTACTATCTCCTTATATATTTCTTTTAAATACAACCTCTTGTTATTTTAACACATTTCAAATGATTTCGAGGTTGATCATATAAGCAAAATGGTTGAATTCTGATCCCGTTTAAGGTTAGTGTGTGAGATATAAGCCAAGCAAGGAGCTCCAAGTGATGGCTCCCTGGATATCTTAAAGGCCTTCTATCATAGACAAAATTTGACTTGTACATATTAATCTGTTCTTTAATATAAATACACAATATATAATTATTTAGCCTATTTTAAGAGAAGTAAAAAATTTATTGTGGATAGTGTGAACCGCAATCTACAAACTTCAGGTTAATCAGGTTGGAAATCACATGGCTCACAAGCACATGTTGTCAATTCAAAGCAATATACAATAAATGGTCACCAAAGAATTATAAATACAAAGCCATCAGATGGTTTTGTTTACCAAAAGAAAAAAAAAACGATACATAAAAAAATTAACTAAAATTCTATGAAAATATATGTCCAAATTAGAAATTAATAAACAGGAAATTGCCTTTAAAAAAACTCTAAAAATTTTGGTTAGTGGCAAGGATTTTTGACTTGGAAATGAACTTAATTGTATAAGGTATGATTGCATTTCCTTCAAAGCATGCAAGTAAAAGTACTCTTCTACAATTTTATTTAAAATTAAAGTACATAACATGTGTTTATGAAAATCAATCGCAGACAGTAAGAGTGCAACGATAAACCATTTGACGGTATATTTTTCCACAGTTCAATTCACGATACGCTAAACGGATATCACAATTCGGTTCAATCGTGTATGTCGATGAAAATTCGCCGTCTTGTTGACTGAAAACGTGTTAACATGAGAAATATGACTGTCACAACTGATTTTCTACTTAAATGAAAGAAATAAAAGAATGAATGTCTTTCTATTTCATTCCAGTTTAAATGGAAGATCATGAGGAAAGGTCCCCGTAGTTCCCTGTAAATGTTTGTCTTTGGTTTAGAATATTGTCACAACTTAAAGATCTACCTATCCATCCAATTCAAGTTTACAAATTGATATTTTAATTATTATCAAAAAATATGAACGTTTGATATAAATCTGTCAAGATAAGACTTCTTAACCTTGTCATGTATCATGATACGTATCGTATCGTGAACTGAAAATCGTGATACGTATCGTATCGTGAGATTTGTGTGTTGTTGCACCCCTAGCAGACAGTGTCACTAATAATTTCAACTTTACATAAATAGCAAGCATGTTCTTAACTTCTGATCATGTTTTCCAATTGTTTGGCTGTTGTTTGAGGTGAAAATAACAATTTCATTTCAAAACTTGTTTATGTTACTTAATGAGTATGAACTTTCTTCATGTGGCATTTAAGAAGTTGTATTCATGTCACAGAGACGCATAACTATTAGATGCTGTAAAGTAAATCTAAGTCTCGTGAAAGTCAGAGAGAATTTAATAGTTAACTTGTAGCACATGTATATTTAAAAGAAATAATTGCCTTATTAAATTTGGGAGGTTGTTTGAGGATGATATACATTGTGCATAAATATTTCTTACATTGATATTTTAAACTAGTAAAGTATATTTTTCATGCCAAATTTGAGTCAAAATCCACGAAATGCAATGAAATTAGTTTTTCAATAATATAAATCACTTTTTATTTGCGAGAACATTATTTGTTGCATAATTTAGAGACTGTTTGCTTGCGGAAATTTCATTCTCACGTATAAATTTACTGTTAAAGATTATATAGAGCAATTACTGAAATTCGTAAAAATGTTGTTTTGCTTATAAATACCAAAGAAAAATTTTGTGAAAATAAGGTGTCACAAAAATTTAGTGATCTACAGTATGTCACAGAGTATGATACATAAGTATAAAATATCATGATATGACACGTAATATACAGCATATGAAATTACTTGTAAATCTAGAAGAGTACATTATATTGATAATATCAATTATTATGTACTCTTATCAATTTGATCTTTCATTAATTAATTATGACCTTTAACCAAGCCAAAGTGTAGATTAAATTCCACACTTTTCTTATCATGAATTATTTTGACTTGTGCATATGACATTAGAGATTAAGCCATGTCGTCATCAGGTTTGAAAATTATATATTGTGAAATTTTTATTTTTGAACTAGGTTCTCTGTCTAGCTGTCTGTTTGTCTGTCCATCTGAAAACAATCTATCAAAATGCTGCTCCTCTTACAGTTTTGGCCTGATTTCAGTATAACTTCGCAGAAAAGTAGGCTACACTAAGATACATAATTCTTTGATGAACAATGTTTCCATGGTTACTAAAAATTTCTGTAATATTCTTTCAGAGGGCAACTCCTCCTACAGTTTTGGTCTGATTGCAATGAACCTTGCCACAAAAAGAGACCAAACCAAGGAACATTATTCTATTTATTGCTGTTGCACAGTTTCTGCTTTTTTTCCTTCTTTGTTATAAGTACAAACCAGCAGAGCTACAGTCTCATCAGAGACTTCTCTTTTTTTTTTTTTAGGCCAAAATGTTTTCACAGCAGGAACCTAAGGTTCACTCCATATATAAAGTGGGTTTATTTCAGGGAAGGGGGTGGGGGGGAGTCCTGTCCTCAAGCACCTGTGAATGTAGTACTTTAAAAAATGTTGTGATTTGAAAATCTTATTGCTTATGGGTTTTTAATCTCAATTCCTGAGATTTGACTGCTGATGCCCATATTTTTGCTGTCATATCATATCATATTAATTTGAAGAAGTTTAATTGAAAATTGAATTGAATCCTGTGTATCTCCATTCAAGTGCACTGTGATAAATCAATGCAGCCCTTTTTTGAACCTTAGAAATTGCACTTAAATATGTTGGTACCCAAAGTAAGGTCTTGTCTCGAGGAATATACCTGTGAAATATGAAAGCCCTAGCAGCAACCATTGAATAGATATGGAAGAGGTTAAAGTTTTTCAAAAGTAAGTCAAACATCAAGGTCAAGGTCAAATGGTCAAATTAATGAAGCCCAAGGAAAGGCCTTCTCACAGGAATTACACATGTGAAATATGAAAGCCGTAGCACCAGTCGTTCAAAAGTTATGGCCAAGGTTAAGGTTTTTCAAAAGTAAGTCAAACTCCAAGATCAAGGTCAATGGATTACAATTGTTGGTATTTAAAGGAAGGTCTTGTCACAGGAAATAGACATGTAAAATATGAAAGCTCTAGCACCTACTGTTCAAAAGTTATGGCCAAGGTTCAAGTTTTTCAAAAGTAGATCAAACACCATGGTCAAGGTCAAAGGGTCAAAGTTGTTGGTATGCAAAAGAAGGCCTTGTCACAAGGATTATATATGTATAAAAGTCCTCTCACCACCCATTTGAAAGTTATGGCCAATGTTAAAGTTTTTTCAGAAGTACGTCAAACTCCTAGGTCCAGGTCAAAGGGTCAAAGTTGTTGGTATCCAAAGGAAGGTCTTGTCACAAGGATTACACGTGAAGTATGAAAGCCCTAGCAGCAATTGTTCAAAAGTTATGGCCAAGGTTAAAGTTTGGTAAAATTTTGCAAAACTTGGTCAACCTCCAAGGTCAAGATCAGAAGGTTAAATATGATGGTACCCAAAGAAAGGTCTTGTCACAAGGAATACACATCTGAAATATGAAAGCCATAGCTCCAACCAATCAAAAGTTATGGGCAATGTTAGTTTTTGTGGACAAACAGACACACAGACAGATGGACGGACAGGGCAAAAACTATGTACCCCCGAGTCTTCGATACAGGGGCATAAAAAGAATTCCATTTTGAATGTAAGAAGACCTTTAACAGTAGAGGCCTGTAATATGTTGACGATGCGACCATTAGGGTGATAGCATGCAGATACCTCTTCCATGTTTTAAGTGTACTGTTTATAAACTGTGACCCATCTCTTCAAACCACACGTGATATTTGGTACTTCTAGACTCTGACATCACATGATGTCATATTGCATTACCAAACCGAAGACTGAACAGTGCTAATTTTAATAAAGAATGTCTTATTTACTATTTTATCTGCAATATATCCATTAAGTCAAGGCGATTTTATTTTTTGTTGACATTTTGTTGTTATTCTCATGAGAACGTAACTTTAAATAGCATTTGGATTGCATTGTGGGTCCAGAGTTACTGCGGAAAAAATTCATTTGGATCAATGTACAAAGTCCGAATTTTCTCTTCACCCAGGCATTGCTTTAAGAGCTCGTAGTGATGAGCAGCACTTTTCTCAAAATTATCGTCTCGTCCAGTCAAAATAAGTTGTGAAGAGATTTGTTTATAATTTACCAATTAACCAATTAATTATATCAACACTCGGACGACTCACAGGTGTAGTATCATCTATGTAAACACCCAATTAACACGTCCATCCCAGCCCCAGGCGTTCACTGTTATCCAGATAAGTCCAAGCTGAATTAATTTTACGCTTGATTGACGTCTATACATGCGCAATCAAAACTTAGAGAGATAGAGAGTAAAAAACAATGAAATATGTGTAACGGGACCCAGGTCTTGGTTCGAGAGATGGAGAACTTCGAGAGATCGGAAGTTCGAGAGATCAGGAGTAAATTTGCTTAGTTATATAGATGAAAAAAAACGGGACTGGAGGTTCACTTCGAGAGATCGAGAACTTCGAGAGATTGGAGTTCGAGCCATCGAGAGTCACCTGTATATTCCAGTAGATTATTTACAGAGAGACACACAAACAAACAAACATGTTTATTTCCCTCAGTTGCACAGTAAGATTCTTGTATTGCAATTAGAGATGAATATTGGGGTGTGTATCATTACCACTACATTTTCAAAATTGTCATTACCGCTACATACTCCTT